TTTCCTAATAATCACCTATTCAAACTTCGAAAAAAAAATCAATGTGTGTGTTTGGTTTGAATTTTTTAGATTAAAGTTTTTGAAAACTGAGTTTTTAATTTTTCATATTTTTTGTTTTTAGTGAATATTTTTAAAATTTTAAACATTTTTTTTACTTTTTTAGATGCACCTTACTTAGATGTATCTAAAAAGTAAAAAAATTGTGAAAAAATATTTTTAAAAATTAATAAATGCATAAAAATATGAAAATTATACTGAATTCTCATAATTTTTTTTATTTATATTTTTGGTATTTGGTGAATTTTTAAAAGAGTTTTTTTACAAAAATTATACTTTTTATGTGTATTTATGTTAAGTGTGTCTAAAAATTAAAAAAATTGCTTAAAATATTAAAAAAAAATTCAGTAAAAACAAAAAAATACGAAAAATAATAAAGTAGAATTTTTTGAAAAGTATCTTTGGAAGACCAAAAACAAGCAAAGCTGAATAATTTTTAAAAAAAAAACTCCAAACATACATTTTATGTATTTTGATATAATTACATATTTGATACATTTTTATGTATTTCACTATTTTTTTTACATGTATATCAATATTAATATTTTTTCCATTAAATACTTCCATATGTATATATATGTGCTCGTTTGGGAAGTTTAGTTGTAGATTTTTTTTAGCTAAAATAACCACAAAAAATAAAATAGATTTTTTAGTCTAATAAAATAAAATATCACATCTAATCTATAATCATTACATTTTTTCTCTCACAAAAAAGTCAAAAACTCTTTCCAAACGAAATTTTTTAGATTCATACTAAAATAGTTAAAAAAACTAAAAAATTAAAAAATCAATTCACTTCCCGAAGGAACCTTATATATTAATAGTTGTGTATACCCAATGAGTGTGCTAGGAATACTTTAATCGAAATAGTTGAGAGATATTTTTAAAGATTCATTAACATTAAAACAAAGTAATTTCGTATGACATGGTTGCTTTATCTCGTTTTAATTTTTTTTTATATTATTATGTCACTCATCAATACTTGGCTCTTACGTCATGTCATGTCTTTTTTTTATTAATAGAGTCACGTTACAGGTCTCGAATGTTGAAGCACGAATTTACTTTGAATTTGTTTAATTGGTTATCTGGCGAAGAGGCTGATAGTCGCGGTCGACAAGGCGACAATCGCGGTAAATAAGTACATGACGAGATATTATCGAAAATGATCCAGAGCTCGAAACTCTACAGCTCGAAACGGCTCGAAATTTTTTTTCTCTTTTCAAGCAAAGGAGCTCTGCACAAACAGAGGGAAGAGGAGAGGAGAAAGAGGGAGAGTAGAGAGGAAGAAGAGAGGAGAAGAGAAAGAGGAGGAGGCAGCACCACCGCCGTCGCAGTCGCCTCACCGCCGTCGCAGTCGCCTCGCCACCGTCGTCGCAGCACCACCTCCTCGCCGCCGTCGTCGCAGCACCACCTCCTTGCCGATCGTCGCAGTCGCAGTCGCAACCCCCTCCTGTCCAGTTCGTCGCAGCAGCTAGCTCGGCGCAGCCCCGCCTCCTCCTCCAGCCCGATTTTTATGGCCCCCTCCCCTCCCTCCTTCCTCCTTCTCCCGATCTTCTTCTCCACCCTTCTTCTTCTCCTTTTTTTTTCTTCTTCCTTTTCTTCTTCTTCTCCGTCCTCCTTCTCTGCAAACAACACAGGAAAAAAGAAAAAAAAAAAAAAAAAGACACCAAAACAACGTCATTTTGGTGTCGAGCCAAATTCGTGCCAAAGAATTTCGAGCTACGTAGCGGAGTCGAGATATTATTTAGTTTGTTTGCTTCTGATTTTTAGAAAATAATTTTTAAAAAAATTTATTTTTTTATTTTGAATATATACCTAACATAAATACACTTAAAAAATATAATATTTATGAATTTTTTTAAAAAAATACATTAAATACCAAAAAATACAAAAAATATAAAAATTCAGTATATTTTCTTAATATTTTGTGTATTTGTTAATTTTTAAAAATATTTTTTCACAAATATTTTACTATTTAGATATATCTAAGTGAGGTACATTTAAAAAAGTAAAAAAAAATTACTTAAAATTTTAAAAAAATCACTAAAAACAAAAAATATGAAACTCATTTGTCAAAAAATTGAAACCAAATACACTATCCGTTTGGGAAGATGGTTTGTGGCTAAAATAGCCACAAAAGACAAAATATGTTATTTTAGCCACAACAAACAAAACATCACATCCAACCCATAATCATTACACTCTTCTCTCACAAAAAAAGTCAAAAAAACCAAAAAGCTCTTCCCAAACCAAGCTTTTTAGCCTAAGCTAAAATAGTCAAAAAAAGTTAAAAAAAAAAGTAAAAAAAATTACTTAAAATTTTAAAAAAATCACTAAAAACAAAAAATATGAAACTCATTTGTCAAAAAATTGAAACCAAATACACTAAGATGGTTTGTGGCTAAAATAGCCACAAAAGACAAAATATGCTATTTTAGCCACAACAAACAAAACATCACATCCAACCCATAATCATTACACTCTTCTCTCACAAAAAAAGTCAAAAAAACCAAAAAGCTCTTCCCAAACCAAGCTTTTTAGCCTAAGCTAAAATAGTCAAAAAAAGTTAAAAAACCAAAAAGCCAACCCACTTCCCAAACCAACTAATTGCCATTCCTAATAGTATTAAGCTTGTTCTCTTAGGTCATGTTTGATTCACAAGATTAATAATGAAGTATTAATAATCTTATTATATTAGTGTGGTATTTACTATCCAATTGGATTAATATCCATTCGATTAATAATCTCACCCCTACCTCATTACTAATAATCCTACAAATTTATTGGATTAATTATTCATTGGATTAATAATCCTAAACCAAAATGTTAAAACAAACATAAAATAATTAGACTAACGAATTAATAATTCCAATCTCATATTCTAATCCACTCAATCAAACCTGCACTTATACTATTTGAACATTTATGTAGAACAATCTTTTGGAAAGCTCGAACTATGAATCCTATAGAGCTAGTCAATTGGTCAAATTTATTTCATCCCAATACTAGTAAGTAATTGTAGGGTGTTTGGAAATTGATTTTTTTTTTTAAATTATAAAATATCTTGCAGAAAATAAAAAAATGATTTTATAATTTATGATATTTTCTTCACTTTTTAATTATTTTAACTACTCCTCAAATGGGAAGTTTTGAAACTACACTCGCACAGTGGATTTATCAAAAACATTTAAATTGGGCTTGAATTGGATTGATTCATCTATGTGTTAGTCAAATCCTCTTTGTCAGGCCCAGCCCAAAAAGCAAAAAATTTTGTTTTTGGAAAATTTACTTATTAGTGACCAGAAAATTATTACAAAATCATAAAAAAGTTTATATTTTTTTATTATTAATGTATATAAAATTTATTATTTATTTATAATTTTTTTAAAAACATTACACTGAATTGAAATTCTTCCTCTGTCTTTTTTTTTTATTTATTTTAATAGTTATATAAGTATATAAAAAATGATGGCACTAATAAGAATACATAATACAAAAATAGAACATATTACAAACACTGATGCCTATCTTGATGATCCGAATAATTCAATTAATAAAATTCGTCAAATAATTTATTCATGTAAAAAGTCAAACAATTTATTCATATAAAAAATTAAGTTAATTTTTGTATAAAAAGAGAAGACTATCGTCAATTTTATTACACATAAATGTAATTCAATGAGATAGCTATTGATACATAATCGATTTAATTTTTTACATAAATAATCTACATCAAAAAAAATATTATAATTTAAACGGTTTAAATTATCAAAATAGACTTGAAATTAATTCCCATATACAAAATTGCACCTTCGAGTCTAAACAAAAGGACGGATGCTCAGCTGGTTTCTTAAAACAAAAAGAAAAAAAAAAAGGGGGGGGGGGTTTGAGTTTGATTATTTTTAAATTTTGTTTGTGGATTATAACAATTTATTTATTTAAGAAATTATATTATACACACCTCTTATCATATGTATCATTGAATTATGTTATTTTATTTTTTAATTATGATTTTATTTTAATTATAACTCATGAGATCTTTATATAGTTTCATGTGTTTTTTTATTATAACTTTTTTATTGTTAGTTATAGGAGTGTGCGCGGTGCGGGTCGGTGCGGTTTGAGAGAAAAATAGAAACCGTATGACGGGTGGCGGATTGATAAAAGTGTCACTAGAATTTGCCATTTTCTTTATCAAAAACCGGCGGTTCGATTGGCCAATAATGGCGGATTTGCCTTGGCGGTTCAGGCGGATTGGCAGTTTATAAAAAATATAATTCAAATTACAAAACTTAAATCAAAGAGTAAAAAAATGACAAGAGATACTGTGATGTTAAGCATCTTGCGAAGCTTTCTTCTGATGTAGCAAGTGTAGTAACAACATGATAATATCAACGACTATGCCATCAGTTCATTACAAGCATCTGTGGAAGCTACGATGATCAAATACAATACATAAAATTCCCCTCGAGCAGTAATGTAATACTAGATTCTAAGGTATAGAACAACAAGCACACTTAAGTAAAAAAGAATTTTTAGAATCCTATAAAACATGATTTAATAGCGGTGCGGGTCGGTGCGGTTTGGAAGAAAAATAGAAACTAGCGGATTGATAAAAATGTCACTAGAATTTGCCATTTTTCTTACCAAAAATCGGCGGTTCAATTGACAAATAATAACAAATTTGCCTTGGCGGTGCGGTTCGGTGCGGTTTTGGCGGTTTCAACGGTTTCGGCGGTATTATGCAAACCCCTAATTAGTTATGACACAAAAAATATAAAATTATATCAATTTATTTTGTAATTGTAAAATGCGTACCGTATATATACTTTGATATACTTGTACCATAATCTTTTTCTATTTATTTATTTAAGGGACATTATTGCAGTTTTAAAATAAGATGGGGAAAAAAAAAAATAGTCCGTACAGAATATTAATAAAGAAACCACTGCGCTGAAATCAAATGAACAAGACTCGAGAGACTAGCTACCAGTCGTGAAAGGGAAATCGGAGAGACCACACACACAAACACGACTCATCTCATCATAGATTCATAGCGCTCTCTCTCTCTCTCTCTCTCTCTAATCAAATCCAAAATGAGTGAAGAAGCGATGAGATTCAATGCCGGAGCTCTGGTCCTCAAGCCCTCCGCCGATGATCGGAAGCTCTCGGCGGCGGTGGAGGCGAAGAAGGTCATCATCAAGAGCGCCGACATGAAGGACGATCTGCAGAAAGAAGCCATCGACATTGCCATCTCAGTATTCCCTTCTCTATCAATTTTTTTGCTTTGCTCTTCAAATTTCACTGATTGATTTGCTTATACGTATCTGTATCTATATGTATATGTATATGTATATGTATAGGCGTTTGAGAAACACAATGTAGAGAAAGATGTGGCTGAGCAAATAAAGAAGGAGTTCGACAGGAAGCATGGCCCTACCTGGCATTGTATTGTCGGCAAAAATTTCGGTAAAATAAATTAAACCCTATCAATCTTTCTTTTTGTTCTGATTTTTAGGATAATTCTTTCGAATTTAACAAATTAAATTGGTATTTATCTGAACTCTGTATAGTTGTATATGTGGATACATTTGATTCCTTTTCTGATATTTGGGTATGATGGTATAGATCTAGGCTTGTTTGGAATCTAACTTCCTTATTCTTGTATGATCAGAAGTTGCATAAATTGCCCCCTTTCCTTTCTGTTGGTCTCTGTGTCTATATACGTAAATATATCTATGTATGTGAAGAACAATCTAAGCTTTGAGGTGGTATTTCGTGGTGTCAGGTCCAGTGGTTGTGTGACACATGTTGTGGTGTGAGGTCTCAACTCTTATGGAGAGGTGTTTGGTATGTTTTATGGTGGTTTATTTCTTTCCCGTTATTGGGTTTGTACGTAGTTGGTGTGAGGTCTCAACTTTTATGGAGAGGTGTTTGGTATATTTTGTGGTGGTTTATTTCTTTCCCGTTATTGGGGTTGTATGTAGTTTGTAGTGGTTGTTGGGCTTAGTTTATTGTTTGACTTAACTGTTGGGGTTAGTAGTACTACTCTATTTAATGATGTAAATATTTATCATATTTGTAAAAACTCTCCTATCGATTGATAATAAAAAAGATAAGAAAGAGAACAATCTAAGCTTTGGGGTGGTATTCCGTATAATGGGTATACCATGGTGGTGTACTCCTCTCTTTCACTCATACATGTGTAACCCACAATTATGGTGTCCATATCTATACAAGAGAGAAGGGTATACCACCATCAGGGCCAGCCCTGAGGGCAGGCAACCCTTATTTTCTTCTCCATAGATTGATAACAAGCATAGATTTCTTTATTTTTGGTTGTTCATGTGCATGTTTTTACTAATGAGTGTAGTGAGAAGTAATAAGGAGATATTACAAAAAAAGAATATATATTTGATTTCAAATCGGAACCAGTTAGTGCTCCAATACCTTTTATCTTATTAGGAGGTCAATAATTCAGGTCTTGTCATGGAAATATCCCTTTCGAAACTACGATTTCCGATTTATCAAAAATATTTAAATCAAGCTTGAATTGGATTGATTTGCCGATGTCTCAATGCCTTCTGTCAAGCTCGGCCCAAACTTAATTCTTGGTGAAGTCCAGCCCAATTTTTTTTTTGTTTTGTTATTTAAGCAAACCAAACCGGATGATGCAATAATATTTGTTGTATTATTAATGCATTTGGTAAGTAAACAGTAAAAATGACTATTGACAAGGGTTTTTTTTTTCAAGTGCAAAAAATATTTGGTAAGTGGACTCCTAAGCCATACATAATTTTTTAAAACATTTTCTCTACAAGTAGCAATATAGGGTAATTTACCGAACTCAAGTTTTTTAAAAAATTATTTCATATGTGCAAAGTTGTTCTATACATATTTTCCACCTAAAGTAGTTATTATTTTTTAAATCGTAATTTGAGAGAGTATATGAAGTAAAGTCCCATATCTTATGGTGTACGAAAGCAATGTGCATCAAGTAAGTAAGTGTGAGGCCACCATCAGCTTTGGGTTTGAGTTACCAATACCTTGTGACATGGTATTAGAGCCTAGATGAAGCAGGTGTTGACATGGTATTAGAGCCTAGATGAAGCAGGTGTTGTCAAGTAAGAGCATCTCCAATGGTTGTGCTACTAGTCATGCCAAAGTCAAAAAAATGGCTTAGCTTCACAAAATTGGTGCTGCAATGGTGTGTCATTGCTCTAGCCAAAAAATTGCAAAGTCAAACTTTGAGCCAAATTTGGCTCTAGGTTTGGCAAAGCCATCTTGATGCTAAATGAAGGAAGGAGAAAGAGATACGAGGGCAAAGAGCATCCAGCGACTAGAAAAAGAAAAAAAAAATTTAGTTGAATTTGGCAAATGATTGTGCCAAACTGGCAAGTCTCCATTGGAGTGGTATAGCCAAAAATTGACTTTTGTGCACTGTAGCAAGCCAAAAAATAACTTTGGCAAAGCCATTTTGGCTTGGACCATTGGAGATGCTTTAAGCACATTGCATGTGAAGGAGGGTGTGAAGTGACATCCTACGTCGTCTAGGTACGAAAGTAATGTGCAATATATAAGCGTGAGGGCATCTTCAGCTCAAAAGCTAGCTTTTGAGGCTGAGTTCTACCAAGACCTTGTGACAGTATATTTGCATAAATGTATGACAACATTGAACGGGTGTTGCATGCATCTTATCAGGGCACAGTTTGGGCTGCCAATTGGCCAACTCTGGATTGCCAAAGTTTTGGAAAGGTGCATCTCTAATTAGTGAAGCATCAGGCCAAGCCTTAACAGTGGTCGCAAAGTTGCTGTGAAATATTAGGATGGATTGTATTATTCCAATCATGAAAATCAAGTAGTTCAAAATTTCTTACAAGTGCATGAGTTAATGTAATAATTGATGTTTCAATCTTAGAAGATGCATCCACACAATGTGTTTTACAAACACAGTTTATTGTGTATAATATATTGTTGCGCTCAGTTTATTGTTTGTTGTGTTTATGTTGTTATGCACACAGAGATGCTAGGTGCTGATTGTTGAGTAGTTTTCATGGGTCTGGATTTTTTCTGTTCAAGATATTTTAAAGCTCATTTTCTGGGGTAATATGTGTTATTTTTAGAGAATTTCAAGATTAGGGAATAATTAGGATATCATCCCCTATTTATATTAATGAAGATTAATAATTACAAGGGAGCCCTAAGGCATAGAGTAATTACAAAATAATAACCCAAATAATAATATATAATGCTAACACTCCCCCTTAAGCTGGTGCGAAGATATCTCTCATACTCAGCTTGCCTAAGATGTCATGAAATGACTTACTCCCAACTCCCTTGGTGAGGATGTCAACAAGTTGTTTTTCAGACTGCACAAAAGGAGTACATATGGTGCCACTAGTGAGTTTCTCCTTAATGAAGTGGCGATCAATCTCAACATGCTTTGTCCTGTCATGTTGAACCTGATTGTGAGCGATGTTGATAATGGCCTTATTATCACAGTATAACCGCATGGAGTCCATCTGATCAATACCTAGATCACTTAACAATAACTTAATCCATAAGAGCTCACACACCCTTCAATGTTATTTCATACATGAATCCATCACAACCAATATAACAATTTACTTCAAGAGCCAACTTGTTCATTAAACTAAGGTGATGAATTTTACAACTTCCACATTTACATGTCCATAAAACCTCATACCCAATCCCAAGTTCTACAAACAAAATGACAATTACAAAAGAAGAACCCCAAGGGTGTACAAGACAACAACAAAATAAGTCTAACAGCCTTAGTACAAAACTATAAGTCTTTACAGCAAAATATTCTCAACTGTCTATCCTGACACAGCTTACTTCAAGTCACCACTGTAGTGGTACAATATTATTTCCTGAAAAATAAAATAGGGGTGAGCTCTATGCCCAGTAGGAATACATTTAACTAAGTATTTAATCATTCGAATAAATTTATGGCATTCTTGAGACAAAACATAATAAGGAGTTATGAACACATGTAATCTTCACTAATTATATAAATACACAACGATTTAGCATGGATAATTACATTTCACACCTTTACAACACAACATTTGAACAATCACATCAAAGGAAAACAAACCATGAGTCCCATGTAAGAGTCCAACACAAATTGCTTTAGTTTCAAAAACCATTCCCACATTTGCAGACTATTATACGGCGGGAAGTGGGCTCCTCAAGAAAACCATCATTTTTTTCACTTTCGCCGACTACAATATGGCAAGACTGTGTGCACACCCAAAAACATCTTTTCCATATTCGTCCAGCGATAAGTCTAGACAGGGCATTTGGGCACCTTTTAACCTCCCAGCGCGCGGGTACCAACACAACACCACATTTTCCAAAACCGACTCTTACTTGGACTCATGCACAATTAACCATTCTATCACATCTTGTTCCATCAACAAGCATCCATCATCACAATAGATAAAACACCACATAATATTCAAAGAATAATAATATCTAAGTCACAATTCTTTTACCATATCAACATTCACATCTTTCATCTCTTGATTATTCATAATATTCCATGAATTAAAGAAAATTTCATTCAATTTAATGTTTTCTACTCAATTTGAAAAGTTAGGGTTTTACCAACTTTGGGGGTTTCTCCTTCATCATAGATATGGGTTTTAGTAACATTTATATACATATTTTGTCAAAAGGATTTAAGAAATTTTAAGCAATATCGAGTAAAATGGTTTATTCATGTGAATATGGTTTTAATCCAATAAGATCTTCAAATTAGCTCATAAGTCACAACAATATCATGAAATTTCTCCAAAATAAAGAAATACTAGGGTAAAAGTATCCCTACCTCAAGATTGGAAGCTAAGGATGAAGACCCATCTTCGAACTCCAATGAAATCACAAAACAATCGGTAAAAGTTTTGATCCATGCTTGTTTTTCATCCTTCTTGAAAGATTTAGGGTGAATCTTTGGTAAAAAGAAGAGAAATCAAGGGTTTGGAAGGTTTGGGTTTCGGGTTTGGAGGATGGGAGGAGAAGAAAGGGATAAAAATAAAGTTTTTAGGCCAAAAAGTCACTTTATAATATCTGTTAGTGACCTGGTTGCTCGAGCGAAGGAAGCTTGGCTTGAGCGTAGAATAGAAGCTCCTAGAATCTCTGAAAATCGCGTAGTTTGCTCGAGCGAAGAAAAGCTCGCACGAGCGAGCATGCTTCCAGCACAAAAACTTAAAATCCAAACGGGCATAACTCTCTTGTCCGGACTTCGTTCTAGGTCGTTCTCTTGTCCAAATCGAAGCCTCGGAAATAAGCTTTTCAATGGTTCTAGTCTTACATCCAAATTCGAAGTATGGAAAGAGAAAAGGGCAAAAGAGTGAAGGTTGGTCAAAAACAAAAACTTAAATTTGGGACTTTTGATCTAATCTTGCTTAAATACCTTGTTAAGACTTTAATCAAGGTTCCAAACATCACCCAAGGATTCTCAATTATAATATTTAAAGTTCACTTGCCAAACCATCAATATCAAGAGTCCGACAATCATACAAGTTTTAAGGTGATGGGCACCAAGTTACACCAATCCGATAGTAATTAGAATCCGAGTTATTACACACCCCTTGTGCCATAGTTCTAAACTTAACTTCTGCACTTAACCTGGCAACCACATTCTGTTTCTTACTCCTCCAAGTAACTAGGTTGCCTCTAACAAAGGTGCAATACCCTAAAGTCGATCTCCTATCAGTTATTGATCCAGCACAGTCAGCATCTGTATAGGCTTCCACACGAAAAGATCATACTTTGAAAAATAAAGACCCTTACCAAGAGCAGACTTCAAGTACCTCAAAATTCTCATGACAACCTCGAAGTGAATCTGATGAGGAGCATGCATAAACTGGCTAACCACACTGACAACAACAATAATATCATGACGGGAGTGAGATAGGTAAATGAGCTTACCCACTAATCGCTGATAGCTCCTCCTATCAACAGTTTCTCCTCCTTCATTATCCCCCAATTTTTTATTGGATTTCAATGGAGTGTCACAGGCCTTGCAGTTAAGCATCCTAGTTTCCTTCAACAGGTCAAGCACATACTGTCTCTGTGAGATAAATATCCCATCCTTGGAGCGGGCAACTTCAATTCCCAGAAAATACTTCAAGCTTCCCAAGTCTTTGATTTCAAACTCACTGGCTAAATATTTCTTCAACAGAATTATTTCCTCACTATCATCGCTCGTAAGAACTATGTCATCTACATAAACAATAAGTGTTGTAGTCTTACCACATGAGGAATGTTTCACAAATAAGGTGTGATCTGCCCCCCCGACTTTGTTTGAGGCCATATTTAAGCATAGCCTAAGTGAATCTCTCAAACCAAGCCCTGGGAGACTTTTTGAGATCATATAATGACTTTTGAAGCTTGCATACTTTGCCTTCTGTCTGATGATCCTCAAAACCAGGAGGAATGTCTATATATATCTCTTCTTTGAGGTCACCATGGAGAAAGGCATTCTTTACATCAAACTGATGAAGTGGCCAATCTAGATTAGCTGCTAGAGAGAGAAGTACTCTAACTGAATTCATCTTAGCCACGGGTGCAAAGGTCTCCTGATAGTCAACACCATATGTCCGAGTGAACCCTTTTGCCATAAATCTTACATTGTAACGCTCAATAGAACCATCCGCTTTGTGTTTCACAGTATATACCCATTTGCATCCCACAGGTTGTTTGCCCATAGGTAACTCAGTCAATTCCCAAGTGTCATTCTTCTTAAGTGCTTTTATTTCCTTAATCATGGCAAGTTTTCACTCAGAGGTAGCAAGAGCATCCTGAAAATGGTTAGGAATGCTAACAGAGGAAATATTTGATACAAACGCTCAATATGAGGATGACAAATGAGAGTAGGACACAAAATGTGAGATAGGATGTTGAGTACAAGATCTCACACCCTTTCTCTTGGCAATAGGAACATTAAGATCAATGGACTCGAGATTCAAAGTTACCTGGACTATCATCAAAAGCAGGAGATGGCAGTGGAGGAGCAGAAGTGGTCTCTTGTATTCAGTTAACTTTTTATCTGTCTTTGTCCCTGACATAAACTTGCCCTTCTCTATCCTTGGTGACATTGGGTTCTGTAGTCCCACTAGTAAGAGGTTGTGGTGCAAGAACAACTGGTTCTACCATAGGAATCGCTTCACACCAAGGCTCCCCCTACAAGGAGGACTGTGACACCAGAGAGGACAAGAAATAGGACTGAGACTCAAAGAAAGTGACATCCATGGACACAAACCACTTACGAGGAGGGTGGTAACACAACACTTGTACCCTTTTTGAGTAGGAGAGTAACCTAGTTACTCTGAACCGGATCATACTCCACGTTGAGACCGGCTAGAAACTTAAAGACCCTTTCCTGTGCAATAAACTTCCAGTACCCGACTAAATCAGCAGTGCAAACAGGCTTATAGTCCTACAGGTGATCAAAGCATTTCTAGCCATTGGTGAGGAAGGTGAAGTACTGAAGAACCATCTGGTCCCCCTGAACAGAGCTCTCAATAGAGCGGCGTAACTCAAATGCTTGTGAGAAATTCCCTTTGCGAGAATAGGTGGTAGCCATAGCATCCCAAACATTTTGGGTAGTCTCCATAGATAAGTAGCCATCGCTAATGTCTGGCACCATCGAAAGAATAAGTCAACCCATAATCAAAGAGTTGGTAATCTCCCATTGGTCATAACTCGGGTTAGTTGTGCTAGGTGCCTGTATCCTGCCATCCACATATCCCATCTTCCCTCTGCTTTTTAAAAACATAGTCAAACTCTGTGACCACGCGAGATAGTTCTGACCATTGAATAGAGAGGTAGTGATTTTAAGACTAGGGTTAGGGTTATCAGTCATTGTAGTAGGTATAGGGAAACTCTCACTCCTAGGTGTTCGAGAAGTAATGGACATGCCGGTAGAATCTGCCATAGATATACTGTACCACCGAACCCTTAACAAAACTAGTGCCAAACACAAACCCGAAAGGTGGAGGAATACAAACACAATGACTACTAAGAAAAATTAAAGACTTAAAAATTTCATCAACCCTTTTTTTTCTTTTGTGTTTTTTTTTTTTCTTTACTACATTTTTTTTTTTAAAGATTAAGGGGGAAAAACGAAGCAGAGGTTTAGTTGTTGAATACAGACCACAGAATGTAACTTAACTTACATATCACGTAACTCAGTGAAGCAGACGTTTAGGTGTCGATAGGGATAGACAACAGGGATAGACGACGACTCACCCTTTCTCGTCCCTCGCCAACGACGCTAAGGCCAGGAGGCCTGACGGCAGTGGTCGACTGGGCTGGAAGAGCCCAACGACTGGCTCTGTGGTGGCTCTGTGTGTGTCGATTGGCTCTGTGTGTCAAAGGAGTGTGACACCTGGCTTTGTAGTGGCGATTGACAATTGTATAGGTGAGGAATTTAGGTTTTAGGGTTTTGCTCTGATACCATGTTATTTTTAGAGAATTCCAAGATTAGAGAATAATTAGAATATCATCCCTTATTTATATTAATGAAGATTAATAATTACAAAGGAGTCCTAAGGCATAAAATAATTACAAAATAATAAGCCAAATAATAATATATAATGCTAACAATATGTGCCTATGCAGCTGTCCACGTAATTCTCACCCTCCTAAAATTTAGCTTACAATTGCAGTGGTGCTTTAAATTGAAGAACACAAGTGTTAAACGTTAGAAATTAATGTAAGATTTGAATTTTGAACTTGAGTATTGATTTCGAGGAGATCTGGTCCTGTGATTTGAAATTGAAAATCATGTTTTTCATTGAACATTATAATATCATTGTGGAAGGAAAACATCTACCAGTTGCACATGTATCCTTCCAATGTTTCATAGGTTATTTGGTATTGATTCTTTCAAATTAGCCTATATGTGAATTGATCAAATAATTGTAGTGATCTGGAGCTTCTGGTCTGTTACCTCACAGACAAACACGGATTACTGTTCAAATAAGCTGGACATTTAGTTGCTCCATTATCATGTTGTAACAATTCTATGACACGGTTTCTTTCTCTTTTGGTTCTATTAGTATTATGTTTTTTTAATAATAGTAGTAGTTTCATTGTTCTAGTACAGGTAATGGCTAGTGACAGGAGAAAATGAATGAATATGTAAATAGGGTTAGTGACGGATTGCTTTCGTAATATGTATTAGCGGTTTGTCTTTTGTGTGATGGCAAGTGCTAATAGGCAGAGAACTCCTTTTGTTGTATTTTTTGTTTTTCTTTGTTTTTCTTCTCTTTTTTGGTAATTGTCTTGTTCAGTTGATTCTACTTTTCCTAATTTCATGAAAGCAACCATTTTATTTTCATGGTTTCCTTGTGGTAGGTTCTTATGTGACTCATGAGACAAATCACTTTGTGTACTTCTATTTGGACTCAAAAGCTGTATTGCTGTTCAAATCTGGCTGAGCATGGTGATTGTGGAAATGCTGACCGCAACATCGATGGTGATAGTGTTGTTGCCAATCTAGCATGTGTGTATGTAGTAATTGATGACTCCTGTCATTTAAAAATGTCTAGCAAGACATTCTTGTGCTCAACTTGTATATTTGTTTTGACATAAATTTGGTTTGAATTTTTAATGGACTTGGATTCTGGTGGTTCAGTTTGTTGTGTTTTCTAGGGTTTTGCCAGTTTATCATTGAAATCCAGAAATATAGTGGTGCAAAATTGATTGTATTAATCACTAGTGTTCTTGTTTGGTAATTCTGTTGGCTATCTCTTAATCCTATCTTCCCAAACAAATATGGCCAGAGGGGGACAAAGCTGATGGATCTGGTGTGGTTAAATTTACTTTTGTCTTGTTGATTAAAAAGAAAAAGAAAAAGAAAATTTTCATTTTAGGGTATGAATTGAATCTAGACAGCTCATATAAAACCAACAAAATTGCATTCTTTTGCTTGACTGGAAGGTGAAGTCTGATGGAGAAAATTACAACAATAGATAAGTGGGCCTAAAGAACTGTCTCATTCTAAGAGAGGATTTGTGTGTGGACCATTATCTGGTTTGGAAAGTTAATTATTTTAGTTTATTTTTTGATTTTTTTATTATTGTAATTTGATTAAAAACAATTGTGTTTGAGAAGTTAGTTATTTTTTTTTTATATAATTAATTTGATAATTGTGAGAAAAAAAAGTGAAATGATTATGATTTGAATGTGATATTTTATTTTATTGACTATTTTAATTGAAAAATGTTAGGGATATTAACAATTTTACTAACACACTCACAAATTGATATAGATCTCATACCAAGTGATGGTTGATCTTATCAAAACTTGTGAGTGTGTTAGTAAGACTATTAGTAAATGTGTAAGTTTTCCCAACATTGTTGATTTTAATTTATTTTATCTTTATTAATTATTTTAACTAAAAGAAACCATCGCCAAACCCTATAGGTTCCAAATTTTCTACCAAATAAATTATCAAATTTCTACTAAATAAATGACCAAATGTCTCACATACACTACAAGAAAAAGCATTTTTGCTACCACTTTTAGCTACCAAGACTAATTTAGTCGCCAAAAGTCACGGAATTGGCTACCAAAAATAATATTAGTCGGCAAAAGTCAACTTTTTAAAAAAAAAAAAGAAGAGAACAGGGGCCAAACTACTAGTTGTACTACTGGGATGTGATCCCAACTCTCTTTTCAACAAGTGTGCAAGAGAGGGTCAAGGAGATGTTCTAAACAACTTATCACTTTTGTTTTTATTTTTTATTTTTTACTTCCATCTCAACATAATAATATCGTTTGGCGAGTTTAACTTTTTTTTAATAGTACAATTATTGTATTTTAAAAAAATTTGTATTTTAAAAAAATTAATTTTTTTAAATTACTCTTTGATAATATATTTTTTGAAGAATATTAATTATTATAATTGTATTTTTTGTGTTATTAACAAATTTTTTTAAAAAAATAAAATAAAAAATTAATATTATTTTAGTCTTTCATTTTTAAAAATAGATTAATATTTTTAGATAATAAAAAATAAAATAAAATAATTAATATTTTAAAACGAAAAGAGTAAGATAATAGCAGCTCAGCACTTGATATTTATCAAAATTGTCTCCCACAACCGTAATAAATAATATTAAATTTTATAATTTTAACTAATAATATTAAATTAAAACGTCTTGCCCCAAAATCACAGCATAATTTTTCGCTTTGCTATCTCTGTGACTCTGATTCCCAAACCCTCCAATGCGACTAATCAGCAGCACACAGAAAAGTAGTATTGGATTCTATGGGCCTTTCGGATTCTCTTTACTCCTTTTGGCTGACACCTTTTTCATTTATTTATTTAATTATTTTTTTTAAAAATTTTATAAAAATAATTTAACAATCTTATCGCTAATCATAATGTATGAGAGAAGTTAAAAAATACAATAATTATGTACGGGTTGTATCTATAATTATTTGCATGAGGGGATTTTGACTAAAGCTCTGTGGATTGGAAAAAGTTAATAAATACTGATCAAAAAATTTTGACCAAATCAATAAATACAGGCATTTGAAAAAGCATGTGAATTGAAAAAAGTTAGTAAACGTTGAGGATTTTTTTAAAAAAAAAAAATCAAAAATTTAGAAAATTAAGATTGTGATATTGAAACTCCCACAAGACTTGGGGTTAGAAACCCTTTTTTTCCTTCCTGGATAATGCTAGGGATATCAAATTTTTTACCAAACAAATGACTGTCTCACATGGGTGTGGGGTTATTTGGTAGAAAATTTGGGACCTCTAGCATTTTCCTTCCTTATATATAAACTAACATATCATTCGTGCTATACACGGATTGTGTTTACAATCTATACTATATATTAAGCAAAAATGGGTTTTTAACCCCAAACCTTGTGGGAGGTCCAATCTCCCAATCTAAATTTCTTGATTTTTTTATTTAAAAACAAAAAAACCTTAGTATTTATTAACTTCTCCCCAACTCCCAAATCTTACCCTCATAATAACATTTAAATGCATTAAGAACAAGTATAAAAAAATTTCTTTGAAATCCAACACATATGAATTCCTTAAAAAGTCTCAACACATATGATTATTATCCCTCATAATAACATTTAATATATTAAAAACAAGTATAAAAAAAATTTCTTGAAAAGTCCAACACATATACAGAGACCCTTCTCTATTATAGTGTTACTAGCATATTACCCGTGCTATGCACGGATTGTGTTTATAATTATCTATATATGTGAATTGCGATTTTTAAATATTTTTTTTTAAATGGCTTCTTTTTTTCCTTTTTTATATTATATTAAAGTTTAATATTTTGATAATAATCATATGTGTTAGACTTTTCAAATAATTAAATGTCTTTTTATTTATTTATTATATTATATTAAAGTTTAATATTTTGATAATAATCATATGTGTTGGGCTTTTCAAGAAATTTTTTTTATACTTGTTCTTAATGCATTAAAGTGTTATTATGAGGGATAATAATAATATGTGTTGAGACTTTTTAAGGAATTCATATGTATTGGATTTCAAAGAATTTTTTTTATACTTGTTCTTAATGCATTAAAGTATTATTATGAGGGTAAGACTTGGGGGTCGGGGAGAAGTTAATAAATGCTAAGGCTTTTTTTTTAAATCAAAAAATCAAGAAATTTTAATTGAGAGATTGGAGCTCTCACAAGGCTTAGGGTTAAAAACCCCATTTTGCTTAATATATAGTATAGAGTAGCATATCACCCGTGCTATGCACGGGTTGTATTTCATCACTTTGTCTTTTTTTTTTTTCTCCTAATAAAAAAAATAATTAAAAAAAAGAACCATTAAAATAGTAAATAAAAAAATTATTTAGAAGTATTGAACGAACTACAATCACATTTTTCTTTTTGTAATTGTTTATGTTTATCTAATTTCAATCATATTAAAAAAATCCAATTATAAACAAAAGGAGATAACTTCAATCATACAAATCACATTTTTTTTAATACTATCTAACTACAATCACATTTTTCTCATAATAAAAAAAATAATTGAAAAAAAGAACCATTAAAATAGTAAATAAAAAGATTATTTAGAAGTATTGAACAAACTACAATCACATTTTTCTTTTTGTGAATGTTTATGTTTATCTAACTTCAATCATATTAAAAAAATCAAATTATGAACAAAATGAGATAATTTCAATCATACAAATCACAATTTTTTTATTGCTATCTAACTACAATCATATTTTTCTCATAATAAAAAAAAATAATTGAAAAAAGAACCATTAAAATAGTAATTAAAAATATTATTTAGAGCCGTTGAACAAACTACAATCATATTTTTCTTTTTGTGAGTTAATTTCAATCATATTAAAAAATCAAATAATAAACAAAAGGAGATAACTTCAATCATACAAATCACAAATTTTTTAATGCTATCTAACTACAATGACATTTTTCTCATAATAAAAAAAATAATTGAAAAAAATAACCATTAAAATAGTAAATAAAAAAGATTATTTAGAACCATTGAACAAATACAATTACATTTTTCTTTTTGTGAGTGTTTATGTTTATCTAACTTCAATCATATTAAAAAATAAAATTATAAACAAAAGGAGATAACTTCAATCATACAAATCACAATTTTTTTAATGCTATCTAATCATCAT